ACGGCAAGGGCTATTCTCGCCCTCGCCATCGCCATTTCCATCGCCATACCATGGCGATGGGATTTGCTGTCGCGTGCTCTTTTTTTTTTTTTTTAAAGGTTGAAAAAAAGGGAAGAAAGCAAAAAAGGGAACTTCCGTTTTTATCATCCATCTCTATCGACATCGCCATCGCGACCGCCACCATCCCTTACTCCTTTTTTTTTTTTTTTTTTTAATATCGTGTATATTTTGAAAATTAAAATATGAATTCTCTCTTATTTTTAAACAGTACTTTTTAATTTTTTAATGTCTTTTTTTCTTCCTCTTTCTTTCGATAACGTCTTATTCTTTCATTGACGTCATCTATTATTACCATCGCCATCTTTTTTAAGTTCTAAACTCCCTACCAACGGGTCTTTCATTGACGTCATCTATTATTATCATCGCCACTACCTGTTGAAATTCAGACCCAAGTTCGAATCCAGATGCGATCGGATAAATAACATACGTAACTTTTTTTTTTTTTTTTTTTAAAGAGCAACCATTCTGGCTTTACTCAAACATATATATCGTCAAATAGAACTGCCCGGTAAACCGTAGGCAGAGAGGGAGAAGAGGACAACAAACGAGGGGCTGTGACAAACTGTTTCGTCGGAGTTTCACCGACTCATCATATATATATATTTTTAAAGGCTCCATTCAGATTTCTGAAATACCTAGGGGCTGGTTAGTTCAATGATGAGATCAGAAGGCCGTTGCCCTTTTTTTTTTAAAAAAAACAAAGAAAACTGTGAAACTCCCAAAAAGGAACGAACCCTTTTCGCGCGCTTCTTTTTCTCTGTCCTTTTCCTTCTCTCTCTCCTTTCTTTTTTTTTTTTCTTTTTTTTTTTTTTTGGTGATTGATTTTAACCGGTCCTCCGGTTTTTTCGGTTTCCTTCGTTCTCCGCATAACACCTCCGCCGCCATCGTTCCCTCCCCCCCAAAAAAAATAAAAATAAAAATTCACCGCCGTCGTTCTCCCCACGGAATGGCGAGTCGTTTCACTCTGCATCTTCATCGCCATCTCTATTACCATCGTCACGGCCATCTTCATCACACCATCGCCATCTTCATCACACCATGGCCATCTTCATCGCCATCTCCATCGCCATCTTCGCCGCCATCTCCATCGCCATCTCCATCTCCATCACACCATCGCCATCTTCATCGCCATGTGTCCATCGACACGTGTCCATCGTCATGTGCATCGCACCATCGCGATCTCCATCACACCATCGCCATCTCCATCGCCATGGCCATGGTCACGTGCATCGCACCATGTCCTTCGCACGTCGCCATAGCCATCGCCATCTTCGTCGCCATCTCCATCGCACAATCGCCATGTCCATCTCCATCGCCATCTTCATCGTTATCTCCATCCCCATCTTCGTCGCCATCTCCATCGCCATCTCCATCGCCATCTCCATCGCCATCTCCATCGCCATCTCCATCGACATCTTTATCGCCATCTTCATCACACCATCGCCATGTCTATTGTCATGTCCATCGCCATCTCCATCATACCATCGCCATCTCCCTCACACCATCGCCATCTCCATCACACCATCGCCTTCTCCATCGCCATGTCCATGGTCACGTGCATCGCCATCTCCATCACACCATCGCCATCGCCATCGCCATGTCCATGGTCACGTGCATGGCACCATGTCCTTCGCACGTCGCCATAGCCATCGCCATCTCGATCGCCAGCTTCGTCGCCATCTCCATCTCCATCGCACCGTCACCATCTCCATCGTCGTTGCCCTAGCACCATCGCTGTCATCATCGTCTGCGTCTCGTTTCTTCATCCTGCGTGTTCGAACAGGATATCGTTTCTTCATCCATCCTGTCGTTTGGTAGGGAGCTCCCCACCCAACGACAGGAGCCATTTAATAGAGGATATGCTCTAGAGGGGGCTGCTCTTATCACCCCCACTAGGCGGGTCCTCGCAGATGTTTGTGTTCACAAAAAAAAAAGAAAAACAAAAAAGAAAAGGCATGCACTTTCTTCATCCTGTGCCATCGTCGTCATTACTTGCATGAGTCCTTGCACTCTTCTTTCCTCTTTTGGGGGATTTTTCTTTTTTCCTTTTCGCTCAAATTCGCTATTTCTTTCTTTCTTTCTTTCTTTCTTTTTTTTTTTTTTTTTTTTTTTTTTGAGAAAGTAAGCTATATTCCTCTCTCAATTTCACCTTTTTTTTTTTCCCATGAATTCTTAATCAAAATCGAACTAGCAATGGTTTGGCCAATCAGCATCCGACCTCAGCCAGAGTAAATACGAATCAAAAAGACAATAACCACCCATTCCCAACCTGCAATTTCACCTTTCACTACTTCTCTGCTTTTATTTTTGTATTTATTTTTGTATTTTTTTAAAACTGATCAGAACAGATACTACGCGTGATCTTAGAACGCTACTACATTCGTGCTGCGCGCCGAGCTCCCCTCGTCGCCCAGTGCGCCCAGGGGTGCGCCCACTATGCCCTTCTCCCCCCTTCCCCCCCCCCTCCCTTCTGCTCTCACCCCTTCCTTTTTTTTTTTTTTTTGCGCCGACTGCGCCCACTATGCCCCTCTCCCCCCTTCCCCCTTCCCCGCCCTCCCTTCTGCGCTCAACCCTTCCTCCTTTTTGTTCCCTTGATTTGAATCTAGTCGTTTTCCCGCTCGTTTCCGCGTGTCAACTCCGCCTTCTGCTCATTCTTCACCGTCTTCCACGGGTCTCCCACCCCTCATTTCCCTCCCCTGCTCTCTCTCTATCCCCCGTGTTCTCTCTTCCCCCATGCTCTCTCTCTCTCCCCCGTCTTCTCTCTCTCCCCCTGTTCTCTCTCCCCTTGCTCCCCTTGCTCGCTCTATCCCCCTGTTCTCTCTCCCCCTGCTCTCTCTCTCTCTATCCCCCTTTTCTCTCTCCCCCTGTTTCCTCTCCACCTGCTCGCACTCCCCATCTCTCTCTCTCCCCTTCTCTCTTTCCGTTTGAGAGCTGATCTGATGTCGTGGGTGTTGGGGATCACTTCATGCATTTCGAGTACGGCTTCTCGCATTGCACGAGGAACTAGGTTGCCCCCCCGTTGGAACCATGTATATTCCCAAATTTTGGACCAGGTTCATCAATGCATCTGGACTCGTTTTCGGGACTCGGACCAGGTTCCTGCACTCGTGGACACACGTCCATGCTCTGCTGATTCGGTGCTGAACTCTACCCTTCCAGCTGCTCCATTCCAGAACACCAACAACCCTCCAGCTGTTCCGTTTCAGGACACCAAAAACCCTTCAAAAAAAAAAAACAAAAAAAAAACCCTCCTTTCCGTTAGGTAACAGCCTGAACACCAACCCTCCCCTCCCGTTCCGTTAGGTAGCCAGTCCCCCCCTGATGAGGGCCTCATACTGGCGATGAGGCCGAAACCGGTCGTTGCGCTTAGTCTGGTGTAGTACCGGTAGCCCGCATCTTGGGCTTTTCTGCGCCTCTTCCACCTTGTCTTCTTCCTCTTCTTCCTCTTCTTCTTCCTCCTCCTCTTTCCCCCTCCTCCTCCTTCTCCCCTCCTCCTCCTTCTCCCCTCCTCCTCCTTCTCCCCTCCTCCTCCTTCTCCCCTCCATCCTGTCTCCTCCTTTTCACCGGTGTCTTCTTTGGATCGGTATCCACCTTCTCACCTTCTGGAATAGGAGGGAGAGAGGATGGAGGGGAGGAGGAGGATTAGGAGGGAGAAGGAGGAGGAGGAGGAAGAAGAAGAGGAACAAGAAGAGGAAGAAGACAGGATGGAGGGAAGAAGGTGGATACCGACCCAAAGAAGGGAAATAATCGGGCTCACTGCCGTGAAGAAGGGGTTTCTGTTCTGCAGTCGACCAACCTTCCTTCCGTTCCGTTAGGTAGCAGCCGGAAAACCAGCCCCTCCGTTCCGTTAGGTAGCAGCCGGAAAACCAACCCCTCCGTTCCGTTAGGTAACAGCCTGATAACCAACCCCTCTTCCCCCCCCCCACCGCCCCCTTTTTTTTTCGTTTTTTTTCTTTCAATTCCTTCCCTTCTTCTTAAGAGGGCGACGGCCTTGAGATATCATGACCCCATCGAGTTGCCCGACCCCATGAGGTATTATTCCATTTTGCATTCATCAAGGTCCATAAGGATTCGAACTTGGGTGTGTTATTCAGCAGTTGATGGGTGTACCAACTGAGCTACCTTCTTCCCCGGAATACAACGCAGTACGGTCATTATAGCTCTGTATTTAGACTGAAAGATACCCCCAATACAGATGGATATAATGACCGTACTACGTTGTATTGGGGGGGAGAAGGTAGTAGTAGGCTCGTTGGTAACCGCTTTTTTTCCTTTTTTTTTTTTTTTTTTTTTTGGCCTTGAGATATCATCTTTGAGCAGACGGTAGCTCATTAAATGCAGCAATGATGACCAGGCAATTCAGACAGAATGATGTTAGTCTCTTCATCTGAGGATATCTGGATTCGAACTTGAGTCTGTATTTCAACAGTTCAGGGGGGGTGTACCAACTGAGCTAGGCCCGTTGGTAACTACCCCTTTTTCTTTTTTTCTTTTTTTTTCTTTTTTTGAACAACCCCTGTTTCCGATGTGGTAGGTGATGGCCCTTTTTTTTTTTTGTTAATGGCCATTTCTTCTTCTTCTGTCTTTTCTTTGTCCTCGGTTTTTCTTCTTTTCTCAACAGGGCAACCTCGTATCTTTCAATTTGAAATATGATACAGTGATTTAAAAAAAAAAATCAACTGACTGGCCCTACCGGCAGGTAATTCACAGTAGCAGTATTTTTAGACACATCTGCTTCGAGTGGAGTTCCAACTCAGGTCTTTTTTTTTTTTTTTTTTTTTTTTTTTTTTTTTTTTTTTTTTTTTTTTTTTTTTTTTTTGTATTTCAATAGTTCATGGTGTACCAACTGAGCTAGGCGGCTTGGTCTGTCTTTTTTCGTTTAGCTTTCGTTGCCTTCCCTTCGTGAGACCGCCGTCTTGGCGCAAATAGAACGCCCGGTCATTATCCCTGTGTTTAGACAGACAGATGGGCCAAATGCAGGAATAATGACAGGCCGTTATCTATTTATCCAGGTGAAGACGGCCCATTAAATGCAGGAATGATGACTGGGTAAAGACGGTAGCTTTGCACGAGGTCCTCATTTCTCTCTCTCAAAAAAAAAAAATCCGTCAGTGCTGTGTTCCCCGCGCCCCGATGAGGTGGCCGAGGTGGCGGACCGGCCGAAACACGTGTAGCTTGTTTCCGCTCATGCTTCACGTTTACGATGTGTTGCGTCATTAAGGCGCGCTGCGTCATTTTCGTTCGTGCTTCATTGTCTATCTTAATATTGATGTGCTCGGGGGTTCTTCTTTTCTCTTGTCTTTTTTCTCTTCTCCCTCGTATTGACTGCATTTAAGTGCTTGCACTCATGCTTGTGTGTTGCTTCACCCCACCCCCGGCCTTAGGGGCAATGAGGTCCTCATGCATGCATGCATGCATGCAACCCCCAAAGACCTCCACTGACCCTGCGAGGGGAGGTCCTGCTGGCAAAAAGGATTGGATGTAACGCCCAAATCTGGTCGTGCTTGTGGGAAGGTGCAGAAACTCTTGGTTTATTAGCTCTTTCTGCATCTCTGCACAAAGCAGTTCTCCTTGGTGCTGGGACCTGGCCTTCCGTGTGAGTGTGGTGGATGCACCAAATCACATAGCAATTTTTATGTTTTTCTTGGGGCGGCCCCACGAGGAAATGGCTAGTAAAAAATGGAAACCCCCCCCCCCCCCCCCCTAGGCCCCCATTGAACACCCCTGAGAGACAACCCCATGGTATAGCAGTGCATTGTCGTGCCCCCTATTGCCCCCCGACCCTACCCCCCCTACCAACCTGACCCCTTGCTTGAAATAGGCAGTGTCTGCAGTCCTTGCCATGCTAACCCTAGGGCCCCATAGAAAATTTCTGAGAGACAACCCCATGGTATAGTAGTGCATCGTCGTGGCCCCTGTTGCCCCCCGACCCTACCCCCCCTACCAAGCTGACTGGCCCCAAGCAATTCAGAAATATTCGGTTATACTCATTATTACGTACCGTCATCGTCTGGATTCGAACTCAGGTCTGTATTTCAACAGTTCATGCGTGTACCCACTGAGCTAGGCTCTTGGTTGTCTGTCTGTCGGTGTTTTGTGTGCGAGAGTGTGCGCGGCACACTCATAATTGGTGTAAATTTGCAAGAGAATCCTGTGTAATATTAATTCCCCTTTATGTGTCTGCTGCCTGTGGTGGATTACGCAGGAGAGAGGATGTCCTTGGGGGGGAGGAGGAGGAGGAGGAGGAGGAGATAGCTGAGCGGCGGGTAGGAGCTACCAGAAAGTTCGGCGACGAGAAGATGCCAGTTCTGTTAACCTTATGACCGGAAGAGATCCAGTGGCTCTCGGCCATCGGGCCCGGGCTGTTGGTTATTAGCGTGGAGACTCTCTCTTCATCGAGTGAACGAAATGGGGGCCCCAATTTCAGGTCAGTGATTACCAACAGCATGGATGTCTGTCTGGATTAACAGATGGTGTCCGTAGAGTCCGTAGAGTCCGTAGGCGGCTACATTTTAATCTGCACAAGTGGGACCTCTCCCTGCGTCTGAATCTGGATCTGTTGTACGCAGAGATGCAGATCGTGATTTTCTGCACTTGTCCACAGACATGTCCATATTCATCCGTGCAAGTGGGACCTCTCCCCAAGGGCAAGGTCCCACTAGCAAAGAGGATTGGATTAAGCACCTGAATCTGGATCTGTTGTACGCAGAGATGCAGAAAAGCAGATAAAACGCGATCTCCTGCACTTTTCCACAGAAATGTCCATATTCATCCGTGCAAGTGGGACCTCTCCCACTAGCAAAGAGGATTGGATTATGCATCT